ACCTCTAGTAATATATTTATTGAGAAAAAATTGTGACGTGTTCAATACTTATTTTACCCACTGTATATCTCTGACATGGTCTTTTTAATATTAGGCTACGTATGTCTGATATGTCCTGCTGAAGTGTGATGTGATTTGTATTATTTACAGGTGATGGATCAAACCAATGGGGTGTCAGAATGGTTTATATTTACACTTCACATCAGTTACAACCCCAACTCCAATGATGTTGGTATATTGTGTGAAACATAAATAAAAACAGAATAAGATGACTTGCAAATTCTTTTCAACCTGTATTCAACTGCATACACTGCAAAGACAAAATATTTCATGTTCAAACGGATAAACTTTATTCGTCTTTTACAAATATTTACTCGTTTTGAATTTGATGCCTGCAACACGTTCCCAAAAAGCTGGGATAGATTCATATTTGCCACTGTGTTATATCACCTTTCCTTTTACCAACACTCAGTAAGCATTTGTGAACTGAGGACACTAACAGTTGAAACTTTGTAAGTGGAATTATTTTCCATTCTTGCTTGATGCACTACTTCAGTTGCAAAATGGGGGAAATCTGTAAAATTTACAACCAATTCGTACAATTTGACATGCATGTAGTTAAAAGCTGGCTGAAAAATCTTTACTCCAGTAGAGTATATAGATGACCAAAATTTCTGTTCGAGTAAAGTAAAAAAGTATTTGTACTTTGTTACTTTACACCTCGGCGGTAATCTGCAGTTGAATCACAGAGGCTACAGGTCTGTGAGAGAAACTCAGACATCTCTCTCCAGCTCCTTCTGGGGGATCCCAGGGGGTTCCAGACCATAAATGGAACACAGAGAACTTTCCTCCTTTTTCCAGTTGAAAACCATGACCTCAGACTTACAAACWCTGACTCTCATCCCAGCTGCTTCCCTCTTGACTCTGAAACGTCCCATTGCACACTGAAGGTCATATCCTGAAGACACTAACAGATCATCTGCAAATGGCATCAATGAGACCTTGAGATTCTCCAAACCAGGAGAGAAATCTTCACAGTGAAATTTTTATGTTTACAGTGAAGAAAGTCACCTCCACATACCGTTGTAACTTMAATGCAAATAAGAGGATAGAGTAAATAAAACACCACATATTTTAAGTACACATATCATTATTGACTTTAACATTAGACCTACTTGTAGCTTCTTGGCTGGAACTTGTATGGTTACACAAACACCAGCTCCACCTTGCCCATGATGCAGAAAAGACTCTTGTTTGGCAGCTTCCATATGTGACTGTTTGTGTCAAACAGTTCAAGGTCTGGTAAATGTCCCAAAACCTAGAGGTCCAGGTCCCGTTGAATCTATTTGAAGAACTGTAATAGAAAACCAAACTCTTTTTGTTTGTTCATGTCTCACATTTCCTTCCARATGTTTTGTGTAATTAGTAAGCTCTCATAAAGTATCTGGCATCCTGTATGGATCAAGTGTTTGTACTTGTGCTACAGCAGTCTTTTATTATCCAAGACAGTGAAAAAGACCCCCCCCCCACACACACACACACACCTCCACCCTCAGATATGCTGTTGATGCGTGTTGTTCTATAGTGTAATTAAAATGGGGAAGCAGAATGGGYAGAGGTCAGCATGGTGCCAGTTTCCCCACCACCTCAACTCTAACCCAAAAACCGTAAATGTCTACAAGCAACAATTGGGAGTGGGCACACACATCAGTTACGAGAGTATTCCAACTCGCACCCTTGCATGCCATAAGAGTGCCCACCCCCAAGTCCCTATATGTGAATGTCATGAAAATGTTATAAGTGAGTGTCTAGGGTGTACAGTAAAATTGGGGCCCAGGTGGTTACGGCAAATGGAGGTGTAAAATTGTTGCTCTTTGTAACGCACCTGCACCCCTAAAGCCCTACATGAGTGGAGTTGAAAATGAAGAGGGTGGAGGTATGTATGTGGCCAGGGATGGGGAGAAAAGTGTGCAGAATATTGTCAGTATGYCAGCTAGTGGATTAGGTGGATAWAGACCCAAWAYTCCTGAATTAATTGTGAGTTTTACAAGTTAAGGGTTACTCAAATCTATGTATAGCCTATATTAAARACTAAACTCAATTTGTAATCTGAGATAAAACATTTTAAACTCTCTGGTTGGGCTGGTGATAGGTTAAGAGAAAGTTTTGTGTTTCAGAAAAATCTAGTGTCTGTTTTGTAGCTCAGAGAGCTCAACAAGCCAAAAACTGTCTAATCAAGTCGAATCATGTTCTACAGTCATTCCTAAAGTCTGTGTACTCATGACACATCAGTGACAAAAGTGGGAAAAATGTAGCGAACTGTATCTTTACACAAATCTGAAGTCATCAGTGCAGAGCTAAAGAAATACACGGTCTAACTGAACTTTCTGCTTCTTTCTAGAGGATGATATTCTTCACCAACAGTGTCGCCTCTTTTCTATTTTTTTTTTCAAAATTTGCTTTAAAAAATACAGTTTTTCTTTAAACCCTTCTTTTTAATAGGGGCAACACAGTGTTTTACTTACTTTATCTTGTCGTCTTCTGTGTTGTTAGCTCATAGCAGTTGATTAAAATATGATAAAATGAATTGGGCTTTTTTCTTATTGTTTGAAGCATTTTCTAATGAGCTTTGATTTAATTAACAAAGCGGGGTTATTTATTTAGAATTGTCAAGTAATCAGGAAGTCTTCTTTGCAATTTGAACTTATTGTCACAATAACTTCATGATATTTTACACTTTTTATAGCTTTTTGTAACTAAACCTTTTTAATCAAACCTAACAAGTATACAGCCTTGATGTTTTCTCTTTTGTGACYGTTTTTCTGTGTCTCTGTTTTCTTTTAGATGCACTCAGAAGCTGAATAGCTACCATTCTTATCAACAAACACAGGATATGTGAAGAAGACCTTGGGAAGACTGTTAGAATGGCTGAGGGTCCACAAAAACTTAGCTGCTTTGCACAAAGAAAGTGTTCATGTTTATCTGCATCTCTGCATTTCYGGGGCATTTTTTAATGATGCCTCAATCGGCCCTCTTAAATAACTGTTGGCCCACACTGAAAAAGGTGCTCCATTCTGATTTACAGTTCAGTCTGTCAAGGTTTCGCTGCCCCTGACCTTTCTSTTGTCATGCAGTTAGACCAATGAGGCTTAGAGGGCCTTTTGCCACRGGTCTGTGAGGTCTCCTCCTCACTCTATGGAGGCTGAGCCCAGCCGTCCGGCTAATGGGGAGCGCTCTGGAAGGCAAGAACCGCAGCATGTGACAGCTGAATCTCCATTAGGATCTTGTCCCCCTCAGCAGTCCCAGCAGCCTCCCATTCCTCGTCCTGTGCACAGGGTCCTGGGCCGCTTACAAAATCGCCAACCCAAACGTACTGACCTGCTCCGGTTACAGCAACAGCAAGCGGCAGCATGGCAGCACTCAGACACCCCGGGTACCTCAGGAGGCAGTTTTTTCTCCATGACTTCCYCTGCAACTTCATCCCTCCCCTCTACTTCCTCCACCCAGGGTGAGCATGGTCACGGGGTGCCGACGCATTCCAGTCAAGAGGGTCCGGAAGGCCTTAGCTCACCCAGAAAGGGGGAGAAAAAACCACAAAAACCAGGAAAGTATGTGTGCACCTATTGTGGCCGTCCATGTGCCAAACCAAGTGTTCTTGAGAAGCACATACGTTCTCATACAGGAGAAAGACCCTACCCTTGTGGCCCCTGCGACTTTTCTTTTAAGACCAAGAGCAACCTCTACAAGCACCGCAAGTCCCATGCCCATCGCATTAAAGTAGGTCTTGCATCCAGCCGTGATGAGCCGAGTTTGAGTGGACCAGAGGGTAGCAGTGTTGGAGAAGATCCTGAAGAGCACACAGAGGGAGAAAGCACTGAGTCTGAGGAAGAGACAGGCCAGCACAGAAAATCATCCTCTAAGGAGACGCTTCGACATCAGAAGAAAGGCAGTAAGGAGCGACTGGGAGGCTCTGAGGAGAGCCTAAGGCCTGAAGACTCCCAAGCCGTTAAACAAAGACTGGCACTGAGGCTCAGTGAAMGAAAACGTGGCCCCTTGGTCTCTCCAGATGACCCCCCATCCTCCCTCTCCACCTCGTCCTCCTCCCTTGGCCCTGGTAGTAAGGGCAGCACAGAGTCTGGTTACTTCTCTGGATCAGGCAGCACTGACCTGTCTCAAGTTAGCCCACCCAGTTCCAGTGCCAAAACCTATGCAGAAATCATTTTAGGAAAGTATGGAAGACTGGGAGGGCAGCAGCGCATTCCCCACCAACAGCAGCTTCATCCTCCACATTCCTCGTCCTCAGGAACTGAGGAGAAGAGCATTCCTTTCCCTGTGCCCAAAACTCAAGTAATAGAGCACATTACCAAGCTCATCACTATCAATGAAGCAGTTGTRGACACAAGCGAAATTGACAGTGTCAAGCCGAGACGTTCCTCTCTGTCCAGAAAGAGCAGTACAGAGTCACCCAAATTTATTGCCCCTAAAGATCCCTATGCCTTCGATCCAAAACTAGAAACTGCAGGAACCAGTTGTGTGAGGCACCTCCAGAGCCCTGAGGCAGATCTATTGGGAACGCAGGAGCTTTCAGCAGTRCCCCTTCATAGAAGCCACTCATTGCCATCATCTACAAGCCAAGAAGAGCCCTTCCCTTCAGCCACCATGTCTCCGAGAGGTTATCGCCTTAGCCAGTCATTCGATGAGCAACAAGCAGTGGTGGCWGAGATGAGGGGCGCACATCGTATGCTCAGACGCCAGCCTGCCATCGAGGTTCCACTTGGAGCTGAGGTAATGTTTGAAGAGCCCAGTCCTYTATCCTTGTCCTCCTCACCCAGAGTCTCTGAATCAGCCAAGCAGTCGCAACAGCAGCACAAGAGTCCAAATATCTTTGAATGTTCAGTATGTGGGTCCTGCTTTCAACACAGTGAAGATTACGAAGCTCACAAAGGAGTTTGTTGCGGAAAGGAGCAAGAGGTCGGGTATGAAAGTAAAGCGAGCATGGATGATCGGCCTCTGTTGATGCACTCTAAGTTCCGAGCGCTTGCCATGGCTGTGAGGAAGAGAAGGAAAGAGGAGAGCCTGGAAGAAGATCCTCCTAGCCCTGGAACTGTACCCACACCAGGCAGTTCTGCAGGCCTCATTTTGGTGCAAAGCAGACCAGAGCACAGCCAATCTCTCTCAGGTTTGTTCTTGTATCTTTGTAGTATTGGATACATTTCTTTCTTAGTTTATTTATTTTTGTAAGCAAAACATTTATTTTTTCAAGACCCTATATTGACAAAAATGACCAGAATCACCAGATCAGACATAGAGATAACTAGGAGTGAACTGATACCAATTTTTCTCAAAATGTGTATGAGTACAAGTTGTTCTAATTGGTTACTCACCAATACTGAGTACCAATACCGAGTACTTTTCCTTTTTGCATTGCAAGACCCTGGCAGGCCCGGCCTGGGTCCAAACCTGGGTTCAGCGTGTTTGCATTAGCCTTTATAACCTGCATCCACCCAGATTTCTGACATTTCAAGACCTGTGGTTCTTTTCAGGTCAGACATCAGATACTATTGCCCATTGATTGGTTCATAGGCTGGGSGGGGTCACGTCACACAGATGAGATTAACTTTACGTGAATCATTTGCAATGACTAACAAWTTYTCACAAGTTCAAGCATAGAACAACTGTAGCAAGCTACCAAGCAAAAACAAAATGACATTAGCTACCGTTAGTGTATCGTCTTCTGTCGTCTTGCCTCTTGTCTTCAGCGTCAGACTGCTGGATGGTCTGGTACAGTCTTCTGTACCTTTCCTTTGGGATGGAATAGTCCATTGTGGTGTTGCATATAAAACAAAATAAGATTTGCGCGTTTTTGAAATAATGATACCTGCCCACATCAAGGCAGCTCTGTTGAAAGCAAACACAACCAGGTTCAGGGTAGAATAAGGTCAGGCTGACTGTAGCCTGGCCTTATAATGTAGAACCTAAACATTACACAATGACTTCGAAAACACTTTTATCTTTATTTATAACAGCGAGGCTCTGTTTTCTTACAGCTGAGCCCCTTTGACTGTATCAAATCAGAAGAACTTAATGGTAAATACTGTTGCAACATTTTAAAATAAAAACTACACATTTGATTTTTTTTTTCATCTTGTATAAATTTCTTAAACATGGAACTGAGAAGCTTTTCACTTAAAATGTAAACTGTAACTCAGTCAATGGAGTATTGATACCAGTATTCAGTATCGAAACCGGTGTCAKTTTCAAGTATCGGGGCATTTTGTATGAGTACTTGTAAAAGTGCTGGTATAGCGTCCARTACTGATATCAGTATTGGGACACCACTATAAATATCAAGTAATATGTACAGCTATTGTACTGTTTTAACTAAAGAGCATAGTGAAAACTTAATAGGTTGAATGAATGAATGAATGAATGAATGAATGAATGAATGAATGAATGAATAAATGAATATGAATAAAAATTTCATATCAATTTATTGTGATGAGAGCTTGTTTTCTTTTTCTGATGTCTGTCTCTAGGCGTTACTTTACAGAATGAGCCAAATAAGCAGCAGGACAGGAAGGGTGTTTCTGTCATCCAACACACTAGCTCTTTTGAGAAACAGGAGAGCGTATCTATGGAAAGCAAAGAACCTGACCTCAGAGAGAATCAACCAACACAACAGCCTGAGCCAAAACCATCCCCACCCACATCACGCCTTATCCGTCAGCCAAACATCCAAGTGCCGGAGATCCTTGTTACTGAGGAACACGATGCTGACATGCCCTCTGTGTCACCCCCAGTGAGACCATCCTCATCTAAGGTACAAGACTCTTCATCCTTTTATTTTAAGATGTTTTATGTATTGTGGTTAAAAGATTTGATCTGGTGAGCTATTAGTGCTATTTTTGTTTTTGTCCTCAATTGTTAAGTTAAGCTATATTTCTGTTATAGGAGCCAGAGAAAGTTGAGGAGTTCCAGTGGCCTCAGCGTAGCCAGACTCTGGCCCAGCTGCCTGCTGAGAAGCTGCCACCAAAGAAGAAAAGACTCCGCCTAGCAGAAGCCTCTCAGTCCTCTGGGGAGTCTAGCTTCGAGTCTCTGTCTCTGCCTCGCAGCCCCAGTCAAGAAAGCAACATCTCAAGCCTTTCAGCTTCTTTTGAGGACACAGCCCGACCAGAACCGGCCGTGTGGGCGTCAGGTAGCCAAAGCTCCCAGATGCTGACAGTGCCGTCTGCTTCTCACCAACACCAACAGAGCCACAAGGAGATGAGGCGCTCCGCTTCGGAGCAGACCCCGGCTAGCCCACAGCAAACTGAGCAGAGCTCAGAGACGAGAAGTAAGTCCTTTGACTACGGATCCTTGACGTCTCAGCAGTCCACATCTTCTTGGAAAGAAAGAAGAAAGTTTCTTCTTGTAAAACAGGCCACTTTAGGTGAACCCGAGCAGGAGATTGGGGGGGCCGTTTCTCAGTTGTCCAGAGCTGAAAGTCCAAAGCCAGGCCCTTCCCACTCTAAACATCCTTCTCTCTACTCTTCTGAAGCAAGCTCCCAGTTTTACCCCGAAGCTCCAGGAAAGGCTGCACAGTTATTCCAACCGCACATCTTCCCACCCTCTCAGGACGTGCTCCCGTTGCATCCCAGAGGTCAGCATGCTTTTGCAAGAGGATCTCTGTCACAGTTACTCCCTGCCACGACAGCCGTATCTGAAGTACTGTCCACCCAGTTTATCCACAGAGCCTTCTTACACTCGCACACAGGCTTTCCCCCTGTTCAGATACCCCAAGCTCAGATCCACATGCCAGAACGGTTAAGAATACCACTGCATCAGCTCCCACCTTTAGTTCCTCTCCCAGTTGCTAGGACTAGAGTAAGCCAGGCTCTGTACTACCCTATCCCTTCAAGACTTACCACACATGTTCCTTCTCAATCCACCACAGAAAGCAGACAGCTTGTTTCCGCCTTGCCCTCCTCTCTTACGCAACAATCTCTTGTAACCATCTCGTACCATCGACAACAACCGGTCATTGCTACATGCATGGCACAGTTTACTCCTGTAGTGTCCCTTGTTGTGCCAGTGCGCCTCCAAACTCATAGACCTACCTTTGCCAGTGCCATGTACACCACCCTGTCTCAGATTTTGGCATCCACTCGCTCACAAGAATCAACCTCTTGCACAACCATGATCATCATGAGCCAAATGGAACGGGATAAGCTGCAGGGAACCTACCTGAAAGTCCCTTCAACAGAYTTCAAGAGCCTTCTTCCCCTGTCTCTGCCAAAGGAGCTAGCCTCAGGTTCCGAGGAGGGATACGGTCCGTTGGGGCCAGGAGGTAGCAAACGAATGCTTTCTCCTGCAGCCAGTCTGGAGCTCAGCACAGAGGCTCAGCGTCACCAGAAAAGGGTCAAAGAGGAAGAGGAGGTAGAGCACTATAAGAGAGGAGAGGAGGAGAGTGTCAAACAAAAGGCAATGCAAAAAGAAGAATGCAAATCCATTGAGAAAACACTAGAAGGAGGAGATGAGAAGCAACCAGACAGTGTGGATGTGGCACCTGTAAAAGCAGAAGACCAAAGCGAAAATAACAAAGAAGGTGAGGAGGGAGAGAAGAAATCAACCGAGACAAGTCATACAAAGGGAGAGGCTTCGGATGTGGGTGTGGGTGTTGAGAGGCCAAGCACATCTTCATACCCCAGCCTCCACACTTCCACCTCAGTCAACTGGTGCTACCTTAAGTACGTCAAGCCCAACCCGTCTACCCACCAGGACCCTCATAACTCCGTTTATTCTACGTGGAGCATCAGCGCCCACAACCCCAACTTGCCAGGCCTCAGCACCAAGGTGGCCCTCTCTCTACTCTGCTCCAAACAGAAGCACAGCTCCGAGACTTACACAATGGCCACCGCCCCAACACCCGCCAGAGAGAAACAGGCCCCTGCAAGCAGCGGAACCCCAACAATGTCAGAGGTAAACATAAACACAGTAACTACAGTGCTGTCTTGCATTTCTTCTTTCTTCAAGTCGTTGAGATAATTTCAACACGATCGTCTACTTTTTGTGTTTGAGACACAAACTCTTAACATTGTATTAAGTTGTTCTGAATTTGTCTCGAGTGTAGGTACATGTCACCCCGCCCAGCACACTCACAGAAGTAAAGGATGAGGAGAAGCACGAAAAGGAAGAAAACAAAGACATCGGAGAAGAGGAAGGTCCTTCCACCTCCAAACAAGCTGAGCCTTCTAGGGTTCGCATTTTTGAAGGAGGGTAAGGAGTGCAAATCTCCAACTGTATCGTTCATTTTCTTCTGTRTTTTATTATTTTTATTTATTTATTTTTTGTAAATTACGGCTATGCCTCGTTAGACAAGTTCTTTTGCATGATGACGGCAAAAATCAGGGACTATGGAGAGCCAACGAAATTGCACTGAGAGTTAGAGTAGCAGATGGGAGGCAGCAGGGCCCAGAGGGACTTCATTTGTACCTGTAGCCAAGCTTTTTTTCCCCTCGCTGCTGGCATGAATGTCTGCGTTTTAAGATGTGGTCATTTTCAGAGATGGCAGTCTAGCAGTGTTGGTGTCTGTGAGTCGGTGTGGGGGTGAGTGTAAAGTGGGTGGGGGAGAGCTCCTGGTATTTGTTGAAGCCAAAACCAAAGTTTGTATTTTTATTCAAACAAAACTGAAAATAGACTTAAAATGAAGAAATGGAAATAAAAAAAACAATTGTTCTGGTATTTTAACTATGAACACCAAAATATTTAGTTTTTCTAAACCTGACTGTCAGGACCTATCATCCTTGTCTTTGTAGTCCGGACATTAAATTATAACTGTGTTGTACCATTTCATACTGTAGATCCCTTTGAGAAAGGTGAGTGTAGGTAGTTTAACAGCAGTTTTGAACCATCCTACATGACTATTCATTTTTTAGTAACATACATCCTAACAGTTTAGCTACTGTAGCTGTAGCTTCTTGTGGCAGCAGAAGTGTGTGGAACATCTGTTTTCTCAGTGAACACAAGCTGGACTTTGACATCATCGAAATTGTTTTTCATGGTTTTTAATTTGGAAAGATTTTCCAAAAAGACATCAATGTCTCAATTAAGAAAAAATTGGAAGAAAATCTACTCTTCCACATGTGGAAAATAACATCTGGGAAAGGTGCTAAATTAACATGGGAAACATGTCTTGCACATGGGATTTTTAGCACGTTGATGTGATCACCTGCGGTCAAATGTTTTTCCACGTGTGATCTCATGTGAACAATGGGTTTTTTATTTAAAAAGGTGTGTTCATCAGTTTTCAGTCCAATAAAACACTTAGTCCCCCTATTTAAATGTGGCCCCTAACTTGTAAAAAACTATCTCTGACATGACAGGCAGCTGATTTTAGGCTCAGTAGGTGAATTACACCTTCTACCTTCTTGTTTTCTTGTTTTCCTGAAGCGTAGGTGGATATTTTTAGCACGAGAAGTAAAAAAAAAAAAAAACCACGACATTTCGACTGCAGCCAGCTCCCAGATGAAGCATAATCCCACTATTGAGGCTGTTTTGCAGTTGTGTAACGGTTTGTTATGATTTGTTCTGTCACACAACAGGGAGTATTGTAGATGTGGTTTACATCCTGTAATTAAATACAGTCAGCACAGACCCAATGAGAGTGGATTCTACATAGACCAAGAGGAGAAAAGACAAGTTTTTTTTTGTTGTTTTTGTTTTTTTGATAGATGACTATTCAGTTGGRTATAAAAGATCTGTGGTCCACTGTGTCCTCAAATAGTTTTTTGGTAAACAGTAACGTTGTGCATAAACATTTTTTATAGACTATACCTAAATGTGTTGCTTGATTTTTTTACTTTTTTTATGCAACATTTATTTTTGGTTGTTGGCTATAGCCAGGCTTCCCTTCCCTTTCTTTAGCTGCTGCTGTTGTTGGCAGAGCAGAATAGCTGGTATTCTTTAGGCTCTCGGGGCGGATTGGAGGCTACAGCCAACAGACAGTGCTGCTGGGCCTTTGGTGGGATTTCCCCTAGCCCACCTCCATAAAGAGCATGTGCGTCTTCTGTGTATCTAATAATATTTTTATTCACACAGTAGGTTAAATTTCTGTGTAATAAGAGGGGTCACTCAGGGCGATGAAACCACATCGAATCAGCAGCCAGTTCTGTGGTAAAACTCAGCTCTGCAAAGTCTCTTTCAGCTGATTGTTCTGTGTTGTTCGGCCTGCTCAGATTACAGTCATCTTCATTGTTTCCTGCATCTGTTTCTGTCAGCTAACAGAAAACTAAATAGCGAACATAATGATGCATTTGTTAGTTCAAGTAAAAAATTGTTTAGGGCTTACCAAGAACCGGAATAAAGTGTGTGTGGGAGTCTGTATTAAAACTGGATTTATGAGGCGATCATAAAAGTAGGTTCGTCGGACTATGAAAGAAGCCTATATTTTTCTGAAAATGGCAGGTTTTGGAAGTAATCGACAAAGAATGACAATATTTGTTGGGTTTTTGTTGTTGTTCTTGTTGTTTTTGTTTCTGTAGCTTGAAAATGATATGCCAGTTTAGGGCACCAAATGTAAAATAAAATAATAAAAAGAAGTCACAAACACATTTTCATTAGCTCACTTTCCATGTCTAAAAATTAAACCCTAAATCTAAATGTGTAAATCTAAATGTAAAAGTTAAATGTGAATGTTGCAGCTAAATGATGAGGTTTACATTTAAGAATTTTTTAGCTTTTGCTGTTGGTGTGCGGCACTTGCTGTGATGTCATCATCCTGCGACAAGAGCAAAATGGTAATGCTGCTGAAGATGGCGTATAAAATCTAAATTATAAATGTCTTAATTGAAAACAAGATGGTACCTGTGATTCGGCAGTTTGAAGTGCAGCTCAGACATCGGCCGCATCTGCAAGTTTGATGTCCTGYAGGGAAGTGTTTGCAGCGTTAGCAGCGTTAGCAGCGTTAGCGGTTGCTTTTGTCACAGGATTATGATGTCAAAAAGCCACACACCAACAGCAAAGGCTGCATTCCATTCTGGAAAACATAAATCTAAACTTCAACATTTAGCCTCAATATTTAAATTTCACTTTTACATTTAGATTTAGGATTTAATATTTAGACGTAGCATTGAACATTTAAATTTTACATTTAGTAAAAATTAGTAAAAAGTAAAAATAGTGAGCCAAATGACAATAAAATTTTTGTGGAAATTAGTGGAAACCTGGGCAGACTGAAAATGAGTTAAAAAGCAGTTGAAGACTTATGAAAAATTGAAAAACCTTCAGAACACCTGAAGAACCATTACTAATCAAGGTAACTTTAAAAGATCACAAAAATCTTGCTGGTTGAAGTCTATTATAAAGAAACTAAAGATGACACAAGGATTATGCACAGGCCTGTGGTGGCTGGTGCATTGCAGGAAGACCTGTCGATGAGGAAAGCAGATATTTAAGCACTGATTTCCTAAACTCTACCTTTTATTATTGTACATAAAAGAAAACTTTATATGGGATTTTGTACCAAACACTCTTCTGTGTTTGTCTCAGGTACAAGTCCAACGAAGAGTACGTCTACGTGAGAGGCCGTGGGCGGGGAAAGTACATATGTGAAGAATGTGGCATTCGCTGCAAGAAGCCTAGCATGCTGAAAAAGCACATCAGGACGCACACCGATGTCCGACCATACATCTGTAAACACTGCAACTTTGCCTTCAAAACCAAAGGTATACAAACCGTCGGCAGTCAGTTAAAAAGAAAACGGTACTTATCCAAGTCAACTTGTTGTGAGGGTGTTGTGTCATCTTTAAACAGAGGACTCAGAACTGACATCTGGGAGGCTTGTTTGAATAATCAGTATGGTTTCACATGAAGGAGCAGCAACAATGGTATTATTGGTTATATTTCTTATTGCCTTCAAGATGAGCATTGACTAGCCGTGTTTTCATCAACGTTTTTTTATGCGCACTTTGAAGTATCACTTTAGAAAAGTTTGATGGAAACGACAAAATTTAAAAAAAACTTTCTCAAATTCGTAAAAAAAAGTTTTTACGCTCCCTTGAGATGCTTTTTGGATTTTTCAAAAGAGTTAATGCACAAAATGGGAGACGGAAACCCATTTGTGGAATAAGTTCTGACTTATTCATTTACCTCACACCATTGCTCAGCTGTTTCCGCTGTTGGCGCCTTCCCAGATATTTCCGTAACGCAAAAGAGAATTGCGTTTCTTTTCTCTACGTCTCTGGACAGCATGCAACATCGCCAATACAAGTTGATATGACAGAATAATTACAACTTACCCGATAGCAACGCATTCCTGAAARCTTCTTTCCATTGTCTCGAGATGTGCGGTCCCTGATAGTTATCAACCTATACTTCCTGTTTATTACAACTACGCCTAACATCAAAGTCTGATGTAATCACATTTTGCGTAGCCTGATTGATTTGCTCCAAACCAGTAGATTTCTCGTTGGTCACATATGATAAGACAGATGCAGCCTATGTTTTCGGGGTTTTGTTGGCCACATTCCTTGGTCTCATGACTAAGTGCCTACGAACTGAGACAGCCAACGGCGTGGCGCAGTGACATAAGAATGAGTGTATGAATTGAAACACAGCCTGTATCACTGATTCACCTTTTTATTTCAAAATTCTGAGCCACCAGCTAGTCTCAGACAGTCACCGCCCACTGAGACACTAGGGTCCATGATTAGTTGTAACATTARACTTTATTTAATAAACATATATTTTAACTGTAAAATAAAGACTGAAAAAATACTGTAGGATGTTCAGTTTTTATCATTTTTAAACTAAAAGTTTAAAAATATATTACACGGACGGGGCCATTTTATTTACACGCAAAGCATTCTGGGTAAATGATGACGTGGATAGGTCCTCGCTGTGAGGTTGCTAGCGAGCTATATCCACCCTGAAGGTTAATCTTGGCCAATATCTGATGATCGACTCTTTTAAATGAAACCAAAGAGCGTTGACAGAGAGGAGAAGGTAGAAATTCAATTCAATTCAATTCAAAAATTTATTCATTTCATTAAAAAAAATACTATATACAATAATAAAAAATAAACCAAAACCAAAAATATACAAATCAAAATACAATGAAAGGAAGCAGAAGAAGAATAAATCTTATTTTGTCTGCCCTCTTTCGACCCAGAATATACTCAAACGAAACATAATGAAATGACTCGGCCTGCAACTGAAAATATGGATGGAGGACCTCAGCTTAGCTTGTTTGTAATGCTAGCGCTGAGCTAATACATGGCAATATAGTGTCTGTGCTAGTGCAAAGGCTAACAGGCTAAGCTGAGGTTCTTCTTCCATGAAGCAGCTCTGTTGTCCTCCATCCATATTTTCAATTGCAGACTGAATCATTTCTACCTTCTCCTCTCTGTCAACGCTCTCTGGTTTCATTTAAAAGAGTCGATCATCAGATATTGTCTAAGATTAACCTTCAGGGTGGAAATAGCTCGCTCACACCGAGGACCTATCCACATCATCATCTACCCAGAATGGTTTGTGTGTAAATAAAATGGCTCCGTCCGTGTTAAAATATATATTTTAAAATTTACAAAACTAAACAGCTACAGTATTTTACAGTCTTTATTTTACAGTTAAAATAAATGTCTATCAAATAAAGTCTAATGTTACAACTAATCAGGGATCCCTTTAACACAGTGTTGCACCCAGACGCTGTCCTCCAGAACACATTCTGATTCTGACACTCTGTGTCTGTGGGGAACTGAGGCATCGACGAACCAAAGACACTGATAGTCATGATACTTCAGTTTCATTTTCCGTTTTCGGCCTCTACATTATCCTTCATGTCACTGTGATTGATGATCTAAAGAAAATTACAAATGAAATGATTCGTACACCGGCATAAACATCATTACTGTACACTCCTTTGCATGGAAGGTGAAATAATCCCAACTATAGCTGTCATTTGTCTTTCATTTTACCTCTGCTATTGAAATATTACCCCCTTTTCCAGAAATGCTCACGGACATTTCTTGTTCCTGCTCAGGAAACCTTACAAAACACATGAAGTCGAAGACTCACGGGAAAAAATGCCAGACGGTGGGACTGTCCGAGTCATCGCTGGACGAGCCAGAGAGCGAGGAAACAGGTACCTCAGAGGACGGGAATGCGGCTCGCGCATTTTTTTTTTCCCCATTTCGCCCTGGGGAGCCGTGCGTGTGCATCTGTGTGAAGTTCAGCGTGTTGAAGAGTAGAAGTTGCTCGGCACTGACAGCTTATGCAACAGCATGTTCTATTCTCTGTCCTCCAGCGTTGCATAATAAGAGCTGTGAAAAGGTATCGGATAAATAAATGAAGAATTCAGAGGAAGCCACAAACTCCTGATAACTCTGCAGGAGTCTGGCCGTTGTAACCTCGGTGTCAAGAATGTGTCGCTGGAGTGTAACAAAACATGGCGGACGGCTTCCATCTGCCCCACAAGAAAAAAAAGAAAGAAAGAAAAGAAGGAAAAAAAGTCTGGAAGAAGTTTCAAAGCTAGATTGTCACGTTCTCCTCCTTATTTCTGTCTGCTACATCTCTCCCCGCTGTTGATTTTCTTGCTGACAGGCCACRCTCATCCCAGCCAAGGACGCACCATTCATGCCATTCACAAGACTGCAGAGATAGGTTGTGAATAGAGGTGTGGTGCTGTTCAATTAAATTCCAGTCTTTTTTATCTCGAGTCTATTTATAACYTGAGTTTGATGGTTTGTAGTTGAGGTGGGCTTTTGGTCTGTGGTTTTTCTTGTATAATTTTTTAGATTCACAAGGATAATAATTAAAAAAAACATATTTTCTGTGTCTCTGCACAAAGCAGGAAGCGACGAACGTGTTTTCGGCTCAGAGGAACGGGAGGAGCACCAGTTCTCCGACGTGGACGAGTCCGACGACGACGACAACGAGGAGGAGGACGAGGAGACCCCGTCCCACGAAGACCCGCTATCCTCCTGTTCGTCGGACACCCACCCATCGACGGGGGGTCGCTCGAGCGGTAGTCGGTGCTCCCAGCAGGGCACTCCCGATCCGGATCCCGGTCCGAGTCCCGGCCAGGAGCCCTCCCTGCGCGGGGTCTGGCCCAGCAGGCGGGCGGCCTCGCCGGGCAGGAGGAGAGCCTTGTTCTCCAGGCGGGGCTGGAAGGCCTCTCCGAGAGCCTTCTCCCCCAGCAGCGAGAGCTGCTCCCCCAGCCGCAGCCTCTCCCCCCGCCTGGAGCTGTCCTCTCCCATCCACAGCCTGTCCCCCAGGACTGAGCTGTCCTCACCCAGCCGGCACGTCTCACCCTCCCCTGAGAGGAGGCCGTCTCCCATCAGGCCCCTTTCTCCCCTTCGTCCCATTTCACCCAGCTGCTACCAAGCCTCTCGAGTGCGGACCCCTCCGCCGCCGCTGGGGGCGCAACATAAAACCTTTGGACACCTGCCGTGGGAGAGCCCTGGCTTGAAAGGAGGTCATGTCAAACTGGTCAGTCCTTTTGGTTTTATTAGTATATTTCACTCAGATATGAACAAAACTTTTAATTWAAAAAATGTAGCTCTTTCCTCTTKGTAAGATATCAGTGTTCAGTACTTCATGTCCTGGCACAGCCAGTGCCTGAGCTGGAAAACTAATCTGTTTGCTCCCCCTGCAGGAGAAAAGTGGAGCTGCAGGAGAAGGACCATCATTTTCAGAAACTAATTTGTTCCCACCCGCATTCCGCCTTTCCACCAGCGAGGCTTACCCCGGCCTCCAAACGTCAGACAACATCTTCAGCCACCTCCCACTGCACTCCCAACAAGCCAAGGTTCCCTACCTGATGATACCGATCGGTGGGATCCAAATGGTACAGGCCAGACCCAGCTCCCACCCTACTACACCCTCATCTCCAACGTCCCCCCCGCTGGAGGGGCCATCACTGATGCGCTTTGAACCATACTGGGGCGGGACCCCCAGGACTCAAGGGCTTAGGACTCCTGGAGATAACTGGTCAGAGGACCAGGCAGCAGGAACCAGCCAGCCGGTGCGACCCGGTCTTAGCACAGCACTTAGACGTTCCAAAGCCCAGATGGAGACCACAGACTCGAAGCAATATGGCAGCTCGCACAGCTCCGTCCAGACCCCCGGGTCTGCCGCTGAGACCAACAAACATGGTGCCAGAGACGGTCCGACACAGGCGTCCAGCTTCAGCCTCGCAGCCGCCGCAGCCTCGCGTGCCACAGGACAGCCAGCGGAGCGAGAGGATCTACCGTCCGGAGGTCGCTCGGCGGAGGAGGAAGCTGAAGAAGACGCGGCCAGAACAGAACAGAGCACTTAACGGTGTCGACACCTTGATGCGTCTCGCATCCCGTTTATTTTTTGTTTGTTTTTGTTTTTTGTTTTGTTTTCTTGTGTTGCTACACTAGTCTTGTTTTTTATTGCTTTTTTTTTATACAGGTTTCAATACTATYGTTAACTTAAATGTTTGTTCTTTGGCAATATTCAGGTTTGTTATAAAATAAATGCACTTTTTCTGTGTGAAAATATTTGTTTCTGTAAATGTACAAACATTTATATCCTGTATCTTATTAGATACTGGTAATGTTTATGTCTATTTGAATATATATATGTAGATATATATATATATTATATATAAAATATATATAT